GGATGGCTGTGGGAATTTCTTAAAATAAGATAACAATGAAGTTTGGCACATATATTGACTCTTCCTTTCACTTGAATACTTAGAGGCCATTGTAGGGTTATTAACAGATCTAATTTTGATATCAATGTCAGGGAATAAAGAGGGTGGGGGCAGTTCACGGCACCCCAAAACAATGACAATAGTAACATCAGATCACTGAACACAGATCACCATAACAGATATAATTATAGTGAAAAAGTTTGAAATGTTGCAAGAATTACCAACATGTGACACAGAGATATGATGTGAACACATGCTTTTGGAAAAATGGCTCTGATACACTTGCCACAAACCTTCAATTTATAAAAAGCACAATGTGAGGCACAATAAAACAAGGTATGCCTGTATATGCACATGAGAAACAAAATATATATTTCAATAGGATAATGCAGTTATTTACCAAGTATTTCTCATACCTCCCCACCCTTGCAAAGCTTCTCAAATCCACTGCAGGTAAATATACCCCTGGTTGTGAGCCCCTGCACTAGTCCCTATATGGCCCCTCCTCCCAAGTTCACTGCTTCTTGTCTGAGGGCCAAGACCATTTTCAGCTGGTTTGCAGCTCAGCCCAATGAATTATCCCACCTTTCTTAGCTCAGGTTAGCAACCCCACCCATTATTACCTCTATCATCTGTACTCCTATCTCATCTACCTAAAGGGACTGTTTTTCCAGAATCCCTTTATTGAAGGCTTATAACATTTTACAAACACAATAAGCCATACTGTTACCTTCTGCTAGTTGGGGAAGTCCATTTTCACAACTCAGCTGGGATTTGAAATGGGTTGGGTTGTCCTCTAGCAAGGTTAAATTGAACTCAGGATATACTGAAGTGGGTTCTGTGTTCTAGTGGATGGTCTAGGTATTGGGATGGACTCCCTACTCTGATCAGAGTTCTGGCTTGGGGCCTTTGTTAGGCCAGGTTCAGGGTTCAGAGCTCTGAACTCAGGGACCTGTGCTCAGCTATGATGTGGGCTTTGGGGACCAGGCTCTTATCCAGGCACTGTGTTCTGCTTGGGTCCTCTAAGTCCACAAATGGCTGGTGGTTCCTAGGGATGGGGGCTGCAGTAGCCACAGATGTTCCACAGTAGCCTGCAGATTGCAACTTTCCAGGACAGCCTCATCTCTCTGAGTTGGATTCCTGTCCTACCTACCAGCAAAAGGAATCTCTCAAATTCTCTTCCAGCCCAGAGACTGTGATGCTGAGACAGAGACCCACAGCAATAGAACAGTTGCAGAAACAAAGACAGGCAGAGGGACAGAGAGACAGAAAAAGCAGAAAATAAAAGTGGCAGATATGGTGCCCCCAATAACTAACATGACCTGTGAACAACCAGTTAGCATTGACTCCTAAGGGAAAAATACATATTGAGAGTGAGTGTAAGGAAATGTCTGGAGAAGTAAGTAAGGAAAGAGAGGAAAGAGATGGAGATAGAGTAAGCACATGTGTGACTGTAACTGTTTATGAGTGTATGTTTGTCTCATATATGTATGTATATATGTCCCTTCTGGCTCTAAATCCTATGATATAATGTGTAAAGATTGTGTTTGTATGTGTTTATGTTTGAGTGCCTGTGTGCACATGTGCTTCCTATCAGGGCTCCACCTGAGCTGTTAGAAGAAGGTTACTTATCATACTTTATTCAAACTCATAATACACTACAGAGTAACTGTCAAGTCCTATAGGATAGAGTGTAGCCTTAAACCCAGGGACCACCATACCTGAATTCATACCCTCATTCAGTGTGGAAACTGATTCCCTAAGGCCCTTTTCCACCATTCTTTTGAACAGAATTGATTGACATAAGAGCCAGGGAGGGAGGTAGCTGGGAATGGGCAAAATATCATAAATTAGAGTTCTTTTGATAGAGTTGGGATTTTGTGGAGACAGTATTAGTAAGATCAATGGGAGAGAGCTGGTTATTAATGATGTGGGGACCTATAAGTGTTGGCTGAGAATGAAGCTGTATGATGGTGGACCAGGCCATTGAAGGGAGAACAGGCAAAAGAATTGATTCAGGCCTTCCACTAGCTCAAAAGGACAGCAGATTCACTTCCTCTCCCTTCTCTGCCCTGGCTGGTGTCACCTCAAGTTACCATGAAATATATATAATTGGCATCCCTTAAGTAAAAAAAAAACTGCAAAGTTAAATCTGTTATATATCAGTAACTTAAGAGTAACTGACTTTTGGATTACCTACTGTTGGAGGAATAGTGTGAGGGAAGACAGAAGGTCTTTGGGGACTAAGAATTAAGGGTGGGGTAGGAGTAGTTTCAGAGGGGAAACTAAGAACCAGGAGGTAAGAGGGGAGTGGAGAAGAGCAAGGAGAAGAAAAAATGACACTGATAAAGACTTTCAACCAAACAAAACAGCAATGCATAAGATATGGTAAGACCAAGGCATAACCTAGGCAAGTCTATCAAAATGAGGCAGCCTGGAGGTTAAGTTCAGTTACCTGTCTGAGGAAGCTACTTCCTCTGGGCTGGAAGGGAGACTGGGGAATGGAGGGGCTGGGAAAAAGGCATAGTAAAAGGTTCAGGGAGGCTGATGGGAGCAGAGTGGTAAGTTCTATAGCAGAGTCATATAAATTCAAGCCTACAGTATAATCCTAGTGTTATATTTTCATGGTCATATTACCAACCTTTCACAGATCCCCTTACTCTCATCCACTAGCCACATCTATCTATGGCCTACCAAAACAGTGCAGCATGGCATCTTGTACCAAGGTATTTCTTTGCTCTGTGCAACACTTGAAAATTGGGCCCCTCTTTTTTACTGTCTCATAGACTTTGAACCTTCACTACAATACATGCGATTTGACTTATGCCTCTGTGTCATGGATATCATGGCTTTAAAAATACGTGAATTTATCAAAAATCATATTACAACGTTTATCTTGTAGCTTTCCAGGTATATGCTTACTCTGCCTTCCCAGATCTACAGTACCATATCCTCCTAAGGCAAGCATGTACAACATTGCCTATTTCATACGCCCTCAAGAGTCATCATCCCCAACTCAGCCAAATATAAGGCCCTAGAAAATACAGCCCTGGGGAGGGAGAGTTCAGACCTTTCAGTACTACAGCCTTATTTTCTTTAGGGCAAAGGCTGATTCCTTTCAGGTCCCATCTCTCTGTGAATTCCCTTGAAGCTCCAAGTAATGGCTTTCCACGTAGCAAGCACACGCATACACAGGCCATACTTATATTCACATCATCTGAATAGTCAACACCCATGCTCTCAGAGCAGCTAGAGAGGAGGGAAAGAATCTTGCCAGGTCTCTTTGCAAGAATTTTGTACCAAATAGAGTCTTAGAAATAGATCAGGAGTGCATAAAAATATAAATAGAAGAGAAGAGTCCTTTTTTCATCTTTCCAGCCATGTTACTGGCTTGTGGAGCTGTCAGTCAACATCAGACCAGGACCTGGTGCTGATTCAAAGCTCAGCCAGCCAGTAACAGGACAGGAAACTGCTGATTGAAAGCACGAAGAATGTTCCAGGGAGCAGCAAGTGTGAGGTTGCAAAGAGGTTGTTATTGTACTTAAGTCCCCAAAACAATAGAAGGCATTATTACCACTTCCTTAACTTAGTACTTAGACAACACCTTTTATTTCAGAAATGTTTGCTGAACACCCACAATGGGAAAGTCCTTGAAAAATAAATTAGTACCCTGTGGACTGGGGAGTGGAACTTTGGGCCCTGAAAACCATTAGTAGCTTTGGGATATGTTTGTGCATTCTTTTAACAACTAATTTATTTCTAATGCATTTGAAATTTCTGAAATGAATCTGTTTTATGTATTATTTTCTGGAATATTCTGTGAGAGGGACCCTGGACAGGGTGGGAAGATGGTCATGAAATCAAGTCATCCACCATTGGTTATCACTAGATTGAAACCTATTTAAGGAGGCAATATGGTACAGTGGAAAGAACATTGACTCTGAAATTAGAAGACCTAAGTTCAAATCTCATCTCTGATACTTACCACTTGTGTGACCTTGGGCAAGCACCTTAATCTCCTTGGGTCTCACTCTCCTCATCTATATAACAAAGAGGTTGGATTCGAGGGCTTCTTAGGTACTTTCAAAGGGTCTAGAACTATGAAGCCAATTCTGTAATATCTGCCAGGGGAGGACTGAAAACATGACCCCTCAAAGGAGTAAGTGGTGCCTCTGTGATCATTTTGTCTATTTTATTTGTTACCTTCCCCCTCCCCCCCACCTACCCACCCAAAGCCCCATCCAAGTTTCATCAATCCAGACTGGGAACATATGTCTCCAGCAGCCACAGAGGAGCTGGGGAAGGGAGGGAGGGAGAGGATGGTGTTGGGGGAGAGAGAAAGAGCCGAGGAGTGTAATAACTCGACACATCACTCATTGAGACCTGTGGTTGACAAAAGTGTGGTTTTCAGGGCTGTTTTGTATTTTTTCTGGCCTCCTTGACAAACCACCCTGTATCTGCTTTCCTCTGCCCAATGCATGATATTGGTAGCAACACTGTGTGAGGTTCCCGCTACTGTTCATAATGTATCATGTGTCTGCATAAACAACCGTATATGTGTCCGTCTCTCTCTGCTGGCTTCCTACATTCTTTACTTATGTTCCTTTCTGTTCTCTCATGATTTGATTGCTGTCCTGCCATTAGAGCTTTTGGATTGATGCTGTGTTCTGGTGCTGTATATATAGATATTTTTTCCTTTTAATTTCCTTTAATTTCTTCCCTATCTTTCCCCATCCCCAACCCAACTGCCCCTTCCACCTTCCCTGAGCCCCAACCCTACTCCTTCCCTCGTCCTTCCCTATCTTTTCCACACTCTCTCTTTCTCTCGTTCTTTCTCTCTCTTGTTCTTTCTCTCATTCTTTCTCTCTTTTTCTCTCTCTCTCTCCATATATATATATTATATATAAAAAAAAAATCTTTTCTTCTTTTGTCATTCAATCAAATTCCAACAACCCAACCAGGGCCAGTCAAATCCACCACAGTCTCGCGCTGAGCTAGGAATAAAGTTCACGTAATCACATGAGAGTGGAGAATACAGTCCCCCATCCGTAAGTTCAAATCAACTCAAAGTTCACAGTGTGACATGATGGCGTCATGTAACAAGGCTAAGAATTGGTTGCATGACAATTGCCGTCAAGTTTCGTGGAGGTGCTGTGATTGGAGCATTTTTTTCTTGGATGTTGTACCCGTTGATGATTGGCCAGTCATGATCACACGTGCATTTCTTTGACTTTTGTGCTGCCACAACCTTTTTTTTGCTGTGCTCATTTTCGTTTCGTTCTTGGTGCTTGCAGTGGTTTTACTTTCTGTTGTTTGGTTTTTCTCGTTCAGCGTTTTTTATGCTTCTCTAGATGTCACTTAGAGAAAAAAAATGAAACAAAAAAAAAGAACCAAAAAAATTAAAAACGGATTCCTGAATTCTCAGACATGGGATCATTTAACTGTGCAAACCATTATTTTTTCTTAAAATGAGGAAAAAGTTTAAAAAATATTTATGCGTGGTTGATTTCCTTGCACTTGAAAATATTGTGATTTTATTTTTTTCTGGAGATTTGGGGGCCTTTTTCAATTGACACTTTCCTGGGCTTGGGTTTTTATTTTTCCCCAGTTAGGCTATTTCAAATCTCACTCCAAAATGAGAAAAAAAAAACTCTATAGTAACACAATGATTTAAAATAATACCAAAAAAAAATGAACAAAAAAAAAAGCTAGAGTACAAAGCCTGAGGCCTCTGAGTGAGTGCCCCTGTAATAATTATAAGGTTTGTATTGTAGCCACCACCTTTGCTAAATTATTGTTTGGGAGTGGGTGGGGGTTGGAGTTCTGGGTGGGTTTTTTTTTGGTTGGTTTGGGGAAAAAAATTAGTCCTTACACAAAAGCAAAATGCATCTTTTTGTTTACAACTGAAAAAGGGTCCTTGACAAGTGTTTTTTAATTTTATTATTATTATTTTATTTGGTGTTGTAATTGTTTAGACTGCTGTGTACGGTTTGCTGTTTGTTGAATCAACAGTGTGAAAAACCTGCCAGCATGGATTGATATACGCATGACACTTCCCCCCATGGGGGCTTTGCAATTCTAACTTTCTTGATGTAATTAGTCACCCCCATGTATAAGTGAAAGCTGCTTGCTAGAATGAAGATGACTTTCTTCTGCTAATATGCAATGATTAAGCATTCTTCTTAAATGGTGATTCTAGTCAGATCATGATTTTTCTTTAAAAAAAAAACTCCCCAAAACTGTTATTTTTCAGATAGTGAGAACTGTTTGAATTATTTGTCTCAGTTTGGGTTATTAACTGTTTCAACTTCCTTTGCTTTCCCCTTCCCACTTCCTCAAACTCCCAGGTTTCTGCTAAATTCCCTTTCATATAGGAGAAAAATATGTTTATGTCTATATAGATATCAACATATTCAATCTATATATACACATATATGCACAGATATACACATGAATACATATATACATATATCCAGGTATACATATGTATACACAGCCTTGCAAATAGTTACCAGCCTAGGAAGGGAAGCAATTGGTGGTTGGTGGGTGAAGATTCTAGAATGTTTCATTTCACTGGTTTATCTTTCTCCTCTTCTAGAGGGGCAAGGTAGGGGGTGGGCTACTAGAATTTTGCTATTTTGTTTGCCAGGTAACTGTATACATATTGTATCCTTAGTAACTCCTTCACTGAGGACAAGTTAAATGAAAGACTCAGAACCCATTTTTTCAATTCTTTTTTGATAATATTCTAGCACTTCAGAAGAACCCAAATTGAGTACTTGGGGGTATGGGTGGGACTTGGGAGGAACTGATGGATGAACACATTCTCACTACAATTCCACATCAACCACAATCACCTCACTCCACCACTTCCCAATCTTTTTCTTACTCAAAGTATAGGAATAAACTTCTTTTTATTTATCATGATCATGACTAATTTGCAATACAGGACTCCTTACTCTCCCACCTTCCTCAGAGAATTCCCCCACTTCCCACTTCAGGGCAGGGTACCTTATGATGTTTGACCTTTTGATGCCATTTTGCCCCTGTTGTTCCAGTCTCAGCTTAATTGGCCTGGTTTTCTTCATTTTAGGGCAGGATGCTGAATGGGCTACATTAAAAAAAACAAACCTATATATATATATATATAAATGAGAACTGTTGGATGACACCTTTGACATATCAGCCAATATCAATATCAATCAAGCTGAAGACTCCAGACACTCTCTTTGACTGTAACATTTCTTCAAGAAAAGGATCTCGTCTATGGAGTTCAGAGGATATGCACTTGGAGAAAAAATATACATATGATTAAAGAAGATGATGAAGAAGAAAAAAACAAACATAAATATACACAAAAGGAAACTAACTTTAAAAAATAAAACAAAAATAGACCAGACAAGGAGGATGAAAGGCCAGAAATTGGGAAGAGATGCTGGTTATGAATCCATGGGCTTTTTCTGCCAATGGTGCCTCCTTGGGTGAGGCAGGCTGGATGCCAGCCATTGGGCAAGGCGGGGCATAGTCCCCGGGAGTGGCCAAAATAGTGGCCACTGAGCATCTGTATCTGTCATTCCTTTAGCTATTTAGGGACCAAAGGACCAAACTTTTTATTGCAGACGTGTAGCTCTATGTCAAATAGAGGGGGAGTGGGGGGGGAACAAGCCTCCTTCCTGCCTCAGGGCTGTTCCCAAAGCAGCCGAGAATGATTCTAAGAAATATGTAATAAAAAAATACAAAAAAGCAAACAAAAAAAAAAACAAAAAAGAAACAAAAAAAGAAAAAAATCTGCTTCAATGCTTTTAAACAGGCAAGATAATAGTTCTTTGATACTATGAGAGGCGCTTTGATGACCTTTATTCGAGTCTATGAACCTTTCCTATGGTTTTCTGTATCGTATGGATGGATGGAGCTTTTAAGACAAGCAAGATGGATATTTGGAGAAAGCAAAATTAAAAAAAAAACAATCTATAAATATCCTTGAGATGGAAGGAAACCAAGTAGGGAAATAAATAAGGGATATATACAAGGAAAGATAGTTGTTGTGAAAAGTCTGTAAATGCTTCTAACTCTAACCCCTACCCCTTTTAAAATCCTAATAGTTGTACAGAATTAAAAAAAAAAGAAAAGTTTAAAATACCTATATAATAGAAGAAAAATTAGAGGAAAGAAAAAAAGCAAAAAAAAAAACCTATAGAAGTTAGCGTTCCTGCTAAAAATCCAAGATGTTGTAGAACTGTAACTTTTGTAGAGTTTAGACTGAGCATCAATCCCCCTTCTCTCTGCCAATCGCTGTTGGACGCTGTTATTTGCTGAGGGGGACCCTGGGCCACTCCTTTCCGAAACTGCGAGCATTCCAGCTTCGTCCAGCCGATGAATTGAAAGTCACTCAGTTCTCGCTAACCTGATGGACAGACAGATGGACGGAGGCCGCCAGGTGGCATGGGGGAAGCGACGCAAGGAAGTCCGGGTTGTCTCTGTCTCTGACCTCTTCCTCACCTTGAGACCCACAGCTATAGACTAAATGCTTTGCTCCCCCAAGGAGCTGCTCTCTCTGCAAGCCCTAACCACCTTCTGCTTCAATAGCTTCCATGCTCACTCTAGAGACTTTCAGGGCAAGGGAGAACTGGGAACTTTCATCTTAAAATGACACAAACAAAAACCTTAAAAAACAAAAACAAAAAAAAGAAAGAAAAACACAATCTTTGAAGAATTTCTGAAACTGTTTACAAGGAATTTTGAAAAACAGGGATGTTTAAAATGATGCCGGCTCTGTTTTTCTGTAAATAAATTTGCATATTTTGTAGGACTTTTAATTGTAATGATAGAGAAAAAACAAGGAAAACTATTTAATGAAAGCACGATATTTATCTTTGGTAAATGACTTTAGAGCAGTTAAAAAGACATTGATTAAAAACTCAGAATCAGAAAAAAACACTGAATTATTTAAGAACACATATATTTTAAAGTATATCATATTTATTATAATTTATTTCCACCATTAGGAAGACTTACTTTGGCATTCTGCCTTGACTCCCCCCTTGCTTGAGTACAGGCCACCTGGTGTGGTGGGGGGATGGCGGTTTCTTCTCCAACTCTCCTGTTTTTTCTGTACTTTTTGGTTTAGAAGATCAAGTTTCTCCTTTTCCTCTCAGGCCTCTTTCCTTTCTATTTCAGTTGGTTTGTTTGTGGGTTTTTTTTGTTTGTTTTTTGTTTGTTTTTACTTTCCTCTCTCTGCTTTGGCTCCTCCTCTTTGGAAGTCCAGATGTAAAAAAAAAACAGCTGCAGTTTGGTACAACTGCTCTTTTCACTCTCAATTCCCTAAAACTCCTTGTAACCTTCTGTAACTATTGGATGACGCTTTCTCCAGCTTAGCCCTAAATAAAGCACAGTTTAAAAAAATAAATAAAGCAAAACAGGATCCTTCTTCAATGATCTCTTCCTCTCGTACTCGCTGGGCTGGTTGGGTCTCCTCCATTACCAATACTATGTAAAACATTTGGGACTCTTCTAGAGAGTTCTACTTGTCCAGGACTGCCCTTTACATGTGAGCAGAGGAGTTGGTAATCTTCATGCCATCCCAGGAGAGAAACAACTCATCACCCATATGTCTCCCTCATTGGGCTGTCACATTGACTGGAATCCAGGAGAAGGATTAGTCTGTCCCCAAATGCATAGCTGTACAGCCTGAAAGATTAGAAGTAGGGGAGTGAGGGGCCTCAACATGGCTAAATCTCCAGAGAAATCTCATTTTCATTCAGGGAAGGGGGATCCAGGTAAAGGAATAGTCTCTGACCTCTGAATGAATTTGCATCCACCAATTTCTCTCTAGTTCTCTGCCAGCTCCCTGAGACATGCAGTGCTTTCTCATATAGCCAATGAAAACATTTAAGAGGAAAGAGCAGATAAACTGGCCCACAGAAATTTTGCACTCCCAAGTGGTCATCTGAATGAAGAAGCTGATTTGGTTAGGCTAGAAGGGGGTGGATGTGGCAGGATAGTGTACTGAGGCAGAAGTAGACCAAAAAGAAATCTTATGAGCTGGACTGCAGTGAACTGTTGTTCCCACTTTGGGGGAAAAGGGCAGGGGAGCAATAAATGATAGCAGAAAAGTTTCCAGCTGGTTATGGGAAAGGCTTTGTAGTCTCTGAAATATCTGTAAAGACAAATGTACAATTTCTCTTGATGCCAGCCATGTTAAATGTAAGGCTAGGTGATGGAGCTGAATTTGAATTGGGGGCCCATGAGTAGCCAACCTCTCCCAGGGCAGCAAGTGACCTTCCTTTTCTCCCCATTCCTCTCTTTGGAGACAAGATGTCTGGATGTAGAACTTCTTGGTCAGGCAACTTCCTAGGGGCAGGATTTCTTGGGTGGGTGGCCTTCAGAAGGTAGAACACCATGGGATGGGATTTCCTGAGTGTGTTCTTCCCAGAGTATGAAATTTCATACTTATGGTGACTCTACCTTTTGATTTCCCTATGAAAAATAAGTCGTTATGTCCATACTCCATCAGGAATTCTTGTGTGAAAGCAGATGGGACCATAACCCAGAAGATTTGAGTCTCAAAAGATGCATAGCCTCTTACTAGACAGGAATGTCTGGGAGCACAACGACTGATTTCAGAACTACCCCTTAGACACCCACCTCTTTTTACTCCCCAGTATCACATTTTACCCTCTTCCTCTCACCCTTACTGAACTTTTGCTTCTGAAGGACTTCCCTGATCTTCTGTGGTGATATCACTATGCCCCGATTATTTGGGAGGGGGGATATGTTAAGATTATCTATGATATGGTTAAGATCTTGTGTGAACCCTAATGTTCCATCTTGGTTTAAAGGTGACCCTAATTTCTCAAACGTTATGCCAATGGAGCCTGGCAAGTTTTATCTAGCTAGGCAAGCTTTGTGTGTGACCCTAGCAGCTGCCCATATGTATGGTGGTTGTCTGAAGTGCAGATTGGTTTGCCGCTATAATGTTAGACACCAGAGATACATTTTTTTTTGGCCATACAGATTCATTAAACATTATTAAGCTGTCAAAGAGTTGAGGAAATCTTTATTGTGACAAAATTACAAATCTTGGAAGAAATATTCAAGTATTATGATATTTTTTTCCTTAGCTATTTCAATCTGAATCTAGACAGCTATATGCCGGAAGTGGGACACCAGACTCACCTCTGGGCGTACGGAAACAAGAAGAAGGGTCAAAGAAAGGGGTCCACTGTTGGCTAAGCTCAGAGCAGTTGTATTACAGCTTCAGCAATAGGAGTAGAATCTGGAAGTAGGACCTCAGCCTGGTGGGAGAAACCTCAATGGGTAGGTACATGGTTTTAAACAAAGCTCAGAATAAGAGGGGGCCTTGTACTAGGAACACATCACACTGTCCTGACAAGTCATTTCATAATAACAACACTAATAAGTTATAATCAAATTTTACCATGAGATCATAAAACCCCAATCATTAGGCAATGGTCCAAAATACATCATTTATGGAACTACTTATCCTCTGTAATGTTATTTTATTTAAAATATTTTCATGGAAACAGTTTGCAACATGAAGCAGGATATGCCTGAAGGCTATCAAAATAACAAAATAGCTACTTTAACGATGAACATTACAAACATGCATATATATATATATATATATATATATATATATATATATATATATATATGTATGTGTGTATAAAGAGGAGAAAATATAATCTGGAGCAAGATATAAAGAAATATCAACACATGGGGACAAGAACTTAGTTTCTGATTAACTGAAATTATCAATCTCTTTTTTTCCCTCAAAACCTGCACTGTTTAAATTGCCCTTTCCTCATGCTAGGCCTTTTCATAGCTCCCCTAGCTAAAGACCTTCGTAATTGGGCCTCTAAAATGGTCCTTCGGGTGTGACCTTTTCTCTTCCCTCTCAAAACCAAATAAAGAGAGCAGCAGCTTCTTCCCATTTTCTCCATTCACTTAAGATGGTGAAACAATATGAACAAAATCAGAATTTTTTCACCTGGGAGCTAGACTTCTGAATTAGGGAATGCCAGTCCTTTTTCCCCTTTTATAACTCTGCTCCTTTCTGATTCTTCACTAAACATGTATTTAGCTAAAATCTTAAATGTATAATCCATATCTTCTTCCAACAACTGCTCTACCTCCTTCCCTTCCCCCAAACTAGGTTACTAAGAGAGTTGTCTTTAATAAACATTTTAAATATTTTGAACAGTCATTTAAAAAATTGTTTCCTTTTCCCTTCTCTACCTGTCTTCCTATGTATGGCATGTGGCTATAATGTAACAGGATGACTGGCTGCTTTTCAACAAACATAACGTTTACACTTTGCTGGTTCCTTCAGAGGAGTACCCTGGGATGCTGTATATTCATTGCAATTTTTCTGATGCTGCTCAAAACCTTTCTGGAGCTTTTCTTACAGAACTGCTTTCAGAGACAGGCTACCAGCCACATAACACTAATTATTCTCACTGAGGGAGTAATTGAGCCTCTTCCTTTTCTACCTCTGCCCTCCTTCTACAAAGGTCCAGCAGGGTGGGTAGAAATCATGATGGAATTCCCCATACACATTTGAACCAGATAAAGGATTAAAGAGGAATGTTCAGCTAAAATTCCCCAAACTGATTAAATTAGTCTTTATCCCCTTCTTCTCCCCAGTGTATTTCTTTAATAACTCAGGAAAGATGAATCATGTCCCAGTAGAAACAAACCTGTGCCTCATCTCACAGAATCTTTGACTCTGTCTCATGGGCACACATACAGATATGTTCACACACCCATGTCTCTCATTTCTCTCTTCCAGAGATCCTAAATATCCTGAAGTCCTCCCTCTGTCCCTTTTCTCCCTAGGGACACTCTTGGTCATTGGGACGACCTGCTTGTGTTTTCCAATATTCCCCAGCTGTCTCACACATCCTCCCTCTAAGAATTAACTAAGCCATAGAAAGTAGACTGTTAGAGCTGACAGGAAACTTGGAGATCATTTAGTACAATGTCTTCATTTTACAGATAAGGAAAATAAGGCCCAGACTGGGGAATTGACTTGCCTGAAGCCAAACAGCAAAGCCTAACTTTATTCTGATTATTATATTCCTAGTGTTAATATTAATATCTTTCATGTAGCACTTTACATATGCTACATTTTATTCTTATAACAACTCAAAAGTAGTATTAGCTCAAGTACAATTGTTCCCACTTTAAAAGTGGGGAATTAAGGCCTAGAGAGATAAGGTGACTTACCCAGAGTCACACAACTAGTAGTTACTGAAGGTGGGATTTAAACCCAGGTCTTCTGACTCTAAGCCCAGTGCTCTTTACACTAAGCCATCCTGCCTCCCTCCCTGTAGTAAATAGGGCCCACTGTTTGTGCCCCTTGACCTTGACTCCCTTCAGATTACTATTCCTAAAATACTGCATCCATCATGTCTTCTTCTGAAGAAACTTGGATGGCTCTTCATTGCCTGCAAGAAAATGTCCATAGGTGGCACAGTGGATAGAGCACTGGCCCTGAAGTCATGAGGACCTGAGTTCAAATCCAGCCTCAGACCAAACACTTAACACTTAATAGCTGTGTGACCCTGGGCAAGTCACTTAACCCTAATTGCCTAAAAAAAAAAATGTCCAAACTCCTCAATCTAACACTCAAAGGCCTTCAAAATCTGGCTTCAACATAAGCCATCCACCTTTATCTCTCATTGTTTCCCTATCTGTACTCTGTTTCAGTCAGGCCAGCATCTTTACTGTCTTCATTATATACTATGTTCATTGCTTGACCTTTCTATCACACCCCTACATAAACTCACTTTTCTCATACCCTTCCCCCAACTAGTAGGCACCTCCTTTTCCTCTCTTCCTCTCCAAATCTTACACAGCCTTTCAGGCTTAACTCAAGTCCAACTTCCTCCATGAAGGCTTCCCTGACTTACAGGCCAGAGCAATCCCTCTTTTTTTTTTTAATCCTATAGCTTTACTGTATGAGAGAATATATTACTCATGTTGGCACTTAGTTGCCATGTATACACTTATTATACATAAGTATAATATATAATATATATAAGTACACATTTTTCCCAATATTTATTTCATGAGTGAAAGACATCTCAACCACACTATGAGCTCCAGATGGCAGACTGAATCTTCCACTTTTGTAACCCCCTACATAGCCTAGTGTAGGCTCACAAAGAGTAAAGACCCAACTAAACAACCAATAATAAGTATTTGTTTTGGCTTTCTCAGCTGTTGAGAGGATACATTGAGCGCTATATCTAGTCAGAAGGTGGACTTCTTGATGAAATGGTCCTTTCTTACTAAAGGTTATGGGTAGAGGCTTGCTAATAAGGAAGGATTATGGCATCTATAAGCCCTAGCCAAAAAAGGTGGTAGCAGGGACCTTGAGAATCCAAACTTAGGTGCCAAAAGGAACC